CAGTGCTCAAGTCTAGTATCTTTTCCTCTTTTCCACTTGAGGCATTGTTTTTGACATAGCCACTAGTATCTCTGAGTGGTTTATCATGTGCCCATTGCTCTGGAATTAGTAACACAGGATGGTGGCTCAAGAAACAGACTTATTTTGACACAGTTACATGGGTCCTTTAAACAGTGAGTAATGCTTCCCAGGGGGAAATACTCTTGAAAGAATATTCAGCGAGATTGCTTTGGACTTAAAACCAAACACTGAATCCAAAAGATGTGAAAATTGCTGGTGCGTCAAGACATTGTAGTATGTTTAAAGAGAAAATACTGATAATATAGTAGTGGTGTGAACAGAATCACCAGCGCAGTATTTACTAAAACTTAGAGGGAAAAAAAAAATGTGTCCTAAGTCTGACAATGCTACCAAAAATTCTTAATGAAAAGAAGATAGTGAAGAACAGAGTTTATGAACTGAATTCAGATGTTCAAAGTTCTTACAGTTTTTAAGAAAATAACATTGAAGCAATGGATTATTTGTGGTAACTTTTGAAAACTGAAATTATGGATAGTACTAAAAAAATCATATGCCATGACTGAAAAGATGTATCGAACTGTGAAGAAGCAGCATTGAAGAGTTAAAATTCGGAACCAAAAATTGCTCATGTGGCATCCAAAAATGTTCTAGTTATAACTTTTTGTTATATTGAGTATCAGTCTGTAAGGATTATTAAACAGTGGAGGGTCTAATGTTGTAAAAAAAAAATTGTTTTTCTTCTAAACGACCTGAAGTTACTGATTTTATTCAATGAATGGACATATATATGTCTTCTCTTAAAGATACTTATGTATCTTTTATGTGATGTCACTTTGAACTGTTTAAGCATCTAACCATTGTTTCCAGTTGCACTGGATAAGTCATCAGCTGTAGAACTGCGTCCAGTCTTTGCTTGCATCTCTCAACAAACATGAAAGTAAACCCAGTTCATAACTCACAGAAAATCTTCTCATAATTCCCCTTCTTCCTTTTTTTCTTATTCTTCTAGATTTCCCCATCCACCCTTGATATAGCACTTGTCTTTCCACGTGCTCTCCTTCTGCCCTAAGTGTTTTATTCTGCCCTAGAGCATCCTTTCCCCCTAGCTCGCCGTGGGGGGTCTGCCTGCTCTGTCCTGGGGAGGGAAGGAGAAGCCTGAGGTCTGCACGAGTGCTGCAGTCTTTTCCTCTGCAGTCGAGGTGAGGGAGGAGACGTGTGTTCTTACCGTAAACATCCTTGTCCTTTGTTACATTCTGTGGAGCTCAGGCCTCATGCCTGGTCCTTGCCAGCATCATCTGTATATCTTTGCCTCCAAATCCTGAGGTCATTTAACGTGTTCTCATACCACCTCAGCACCAGTCTTAGAGGATTCCAAAATCATGTTGCTAGAAAGAAGCTAAGCCAGTTCATCCCTCAGCTCTGGTGAAATCTGTTTTTAAGCCAAGCCAAAAAGAGCTATGCCTATCATTTTCTAAAAATTAAAATATCCAGAAGCTGCTCTATGTGCTACTTTCACTTGATGTGTGAAGTGTAACCATAAGAAATATCTCTTGCCAGGACATTATTGAGGAAGTCACGGTAAATTACATTCGTGAGAAGATGTGGTCTGCTTCAGAAGATTTGCTTCTTCGCTTTCAAGCCACAAGCTCAGGAGCCTCCCTTAGGGAAGAGTTTGAAGCTAGGAAATCATTTTTGTATGAACAAGAAAAGAACGTGGTCAAAATACAGGTACGTGAATCACCTACCACTGGTTACAGCAAACTGTCAAATCTCTTGGAAATGTTTCGTTTGATAAATGAAAATTTGATAAATGAAAGCAAACTGCCAGCATTGTAATAAACCTAGCAGCATATTTTCCTTAATCAGTGCCCCAGTCTACTACACTAAGGCTTTAAGGTGGGACATATCTTGATGAGTGACTTTTAACCTGTGACCTTCATGTTCAGAAGAACTGTAGACTTGCACAGATCTACCTGCCACCAACCCAGTTGGAGCCAAATGGATGCCTCAGATCAGAGCTGAAATCATATTTCTCTAAAAAGCTGGATCTCCATGTGTCACCTCCCAGTTGACTTGAGTGCTTAACAATTTGGTTTTTTTAGTGGTTAATGGAGGTTGAGTGACATCTGAATTTCTATGCTCTTCTAGCCTAAGAAGAACAGAACTAATGAAATAAAACAGATTTAGCAACTCCAAGAGTATCTTCTCCCTTCCATAATCTGTTGTTCTTCCTTTAGGCCTGCAGGAGATATTCTGTTCCCAAATTTGTTGTCATAAGTTGTTCTTAAGCCTGCATGGCTTGTCCACTGTAATGTCCAGGGCAGAAAATGAGTTTTACAAACTTCTGTCTTGTATCTTGCATATAATAGGTGCTCAAATGTTTGAATTTGCTCAGAGCTTAAAGTATTAGCAAGGCAGAAATTGTCGGGTCCGCCGCCAGCAGCCGACCCGTACAGCCCTAGCCTCATTCCTTTCAGTGGGCGAGCGAACGGCCCTGGATTCCTCTTTCCCTCTGGTCCCCTTTTGAAGGAGACGGGAAGAGAGCCGTGAAGAGAGGTGAGCACACCACCAGCCCCAAACCAGCCCAGTTAAAGG